CAGAGTGAAGGATCATACAGAAGTATGGAATACATTTCAGCATAAAAGGCTAAAATACCGATTGGTTGAAAATATATATAAGTATAGAAGAATATTTGTTTTATTGCTTAGGAATAATATTTGTTCTTTGAAATGCGTGTCCTTTAGATTACCAACCTGTGCTTGATGCATGGTAGTGCCATGATGAGAATGGCAATCGGGATCAATCGAAGAGGTTTCAGAGGCACAAAGGTCCTCGCCCGACATGCTGTCGCGATCCTGTCCAAATGGACCAGCTGAAAGATCATAGTTCTCATTTTCCTCCTCGTCCACACGACCTCCAACCTCCTTCCGGTCCGGGTAGCACTGACCTGAAAGCAGCTCCAGTGAACCCGATCGAGTAGTCGACCTGGTGGTGACCGCTGTGCAAGTGAACGAGAAGGCGGTGATCGGAGTTGGAGGGGTTGGTGGAGGCGTAGGCGGAGTCGAGCCGTGGCTATTAACATTATTTTGAATATGATCAAGAGAATATGTGTATAAGATAATAATATAATATATACAATATAATATAATATAAACGGTACTTAATATAATAACAATGATAAGATGATGAGATAATATGACGGCATTTGTGGTTCTATGGTATCATGGAAGTTAAGACGGATTCATAATAGTGTTATCAATTCTCAAACGGTAGGTAGGAGTTTTCAGACAACAATAAAAAAAAGAAATCAAAGGTGGTAATTCAATGAAACTCCAATTTTAACCAGTTTCTGTAATTGTGAACAATGATATCTTGAAGAAGGATAATATTTCAATCAGTTAAATAAAGTGTAAATACAGCCAACAGTTTGATACTAACATAAGAGCATTATCCACCCCGTTTTGAAAAGCAACTTATAAAAAATGAAAAAAGTTTGAAGTTAATGTCAAGCTACTTAGGATTGTGGCAATTGCATTATTCATCAAAAAGGTTGTCCAAACCAATAACTAAAATAAAAAAAGTTTGTTACCTTTTTTTCGTAATTTAGTCGTATTTTCAGGGCGAACTAGGACAACGCACATTGCCTGGATACCATAGAATCCATGCTATTTTCCAGAACCAGACTATGGACTTGGTACATTCCCAGACGCCCAACCGGCATCGTCATTGAGCCTTGTCACTCTTAGCACCACACAACTCGTCAAATAGACAAGTGAAGACGATCCTTTGACCAATTGTCTGTTGGAATGTTGCACTATTTCGCCCGTTCTGGTGCATTCGTCTGTCCTACAGCCTCTGTCACCTATTCATTGTCGCAATTTATCCTCACTTCATGCAACTCAGGGTTAATAAATCACTTATTTGATAATATAGATACTTTATTCACGATGCTAGGCTATAAATTTCAGTAAATGTTTCGATA